AGAAGAAGAAGAAGAAGAAGAAGAAGAAGAAGAAGAAGCACGCCCAACAGCGCCCGAACCTGTGGCCGCAACCGCCATCCCTGTCGTCTCCGTCCCTCTGCCTGCTCCTCCGCGATCACCGGCCTGCCCTCCGCGATGAGCAGCACAACCCACACAAGCAAGCGGCTGCCAGTCAGTTGCGAGCCCTGCCGCAAGCGTAAGATCCGCTGTCCGCGCAATGGGCCGCCGTGCGACACCTGTATACGCCGCGGGCTGGGGATGGCGGACTGCTTCTTCCTGGGCCAGTCGCGCAACCAGCTGAACGCCAGCTCCGCAGAGTCGTCCAAGATAGTCCAGCAGGAGCTGCTGCAGCGTATCCGCAACCTCGAGGACCTGCTCAAGAAGCACGTCGGCGCGCATGCCATCGTCGGCGGCCAGGCTGGCCAGGACGAGCCCGTCTCGCCGCCCACGACCAACGCCTCTGCCAGCACGGAGGCGGACTGCGGGAGCAACAAGAGCTTCAGCAACAGCAACAACCACAACAGCAATAGCAATAGCAATAACAACAGCTCAGAGCTTCCCCAGAGCCTGCTGCAGAACGTCGGCTCGCTCTCCATCTCGCCGCAGGGCCATGTTCGGTTCGAGCCGCAGTCGTCGAAGTTGGACTTCCATCTCGCTCAGATCTCGGCCAGCGAGTACCGCAACCAGGTGAACAGCGTCAACGAGGAGAAGCCCAGCGGGTTCCCCTTTGGCTGCGATGACCCGGCCTCGAGAGACCGGCTGCTGGCCCGTCTGCCGCCCAGCAGATACTGCGATGCCCTGAAGGACACGTACTTTCGGGTGTTTTCTCCAGTTTGTTTCCTCCCGCCCTTAAAAAAAAAAATAATCTTAGGCTGTGGAGATCTGATGGCTAACTAACGGCTGTCTATATAGCTGTTTCACATATTGCACGATCCTACCTTTGCCGAAGAGTATGAGCGCTTCAGACAGGATCCAGGCTCGGTGTCTCTGTCATGGCTGGCGCTGCTCTTCGTCGTCCTGGCCATCGGCGTCACCAGCCTAAGCGACGATGACCCCTTACTCCCCGACCTGGGGCGAGAGGCCACTCCCAGCGCCAATATAAGGGTCATCTCAGAGCAGTACCGGTCTGCTGCCATGCAGTGTCTTGCTGCCGACCAGGTGCTGTCTCGACACTCCATGAAGACCCTACAGGCCCTCGTCCTCCTTATCTATGCCCTGACCCATAGCTCACAGCCGTCCTGGGTGCTCATCGGGATGACCCATCATGTGGCCATTGCCATGGGCTGCCATCTTGACCCGGACAACTTCAACCTCAGCCTTGTCGAGGCAGAAGAGCGTCGACGATGTTGGGCTGGGCTGATCATGTTGCATATGATACAAAAAATCTCCTTCCGCAACCTCGACCGCCAGCGTCTGAGTCGAGATGTTCGTCTGCCTTTAGACGCCAATGACCTTGACCTGATGAAGAACAGTGGCCTCACGATGGACCAGCTCCGCCATCCTACCGGCCCTACGCAGATGACGTACCTGCTATTCAAGTTCCGTCTCTATGATATTGCCTTGGCCATATGCAACGAGATCTTTTCTTCGGAAGCATCCCCTGCTGTCATAGCAAAGCTAGATAATGATATAACCAGCCAACAAGAGCTCTGGACCGCACGCTACCATTCCGATACCAGCGTCGAACCACTGCCCAGCCAACACTTTGCCCATATAAATATCCTCTTTGGCTACTCCCACCAGCTGCGTTTGCTGCTGCATCGCCCGGCATTGAACCGCTATCTCACTGGAGATATCAACGACCGTACTCACAGTTCTCGTAACCGCTGTCTGGACGCTGCAAAGGGTCTGCTATCTATCCAAAAGACACTTGCTGAGTCACCGCAGTATGCCCCCTATAAATGGTATACGGCCGGTTTGGCTAGTTTCCATGCTTTCCACGCTGCAGTCGTGCTCACTGTGATCATGATGAATCCTGAAAGCCAAGCAGAGTACGATGAGATCCATGCCCTGCTAGTAGACGCTCTACAGGTCTTCCATTTGCTTTCAAGCAGAAGTAGCCTATGCGAGAAGGGAATTCCAATTCTCAGCCAACTGCTGTAAGTTATACTTTACCCCCTTCTTATGTGGTTCATGCGTCGATTCTAACCATAAACAGTGAAATGGCCTCCCCTCAGCCTCAACACCTGTCCATACCGCAGCAACAACAGCCGTCTCAACCTGAACTCATGTCTAACACTGTCCCTTCACCGCAAGATACCCCTATCTCTCTTCTCACACATGGAGGCTCAGTCTCAGAACCGACGTTTGACTTTGCCAACACCCATACTGAAACGATCCAGTCCCAGCTCCAAGCCCAATATTGGGTTACTGCTAGCAGCATACCATGGAACAACTGGGGTTTCCTTATCCACCAAGTATAGTCTTCTGTTCTTCCTAATGATAGCAAAATTTTTACGGAGTTCTGGGTAAAGCCTTTTTTCTTTTAGGGAAGCTATTTTGAAGCAAAACGGCCAATGTTATATATGTATGTTGCCATTTGGATGCAGCACATTGGATGATGGCCAGTGATCCCCAGCAATGAAGCTTTGGGATAACTTATGACAATTTAAAGGCATATTAAAAGGTAGCATAGTAATATAGTTTCATGTGACTAACATCGCCCATCATGATCTTACTTGAGCATGAACCAGAAGAAGGCTTCATTAGAATTGTGTCATTTTTCCCTTGAACCAATTCATCATTCTTGCTTCTGCCGTCTAATTTACACGGAAAGTGAAATATTTAATCGTTATTTAATTATTTCTTTATCATTCCGAGTTTCCCACCCCCATATTTCCTATTCCAGAAGAAGTGTATAGATGAAGGAAAACTGGTTTTAAGGTATCGGAAAGGTGGTATTTGGGGGTGTCTTTAAGGGAAGAACGGCATCATAATGGGCGATGAAAAAAAAAAGATGCGAAGAAGAATGCCATCGAGAGATAGAGAGGTGGTTGAAGGTATTTCATTCGTTTTAGATTTTATTTCTTTTTGTCGTTTAGAAAACAAGAGCAGCACCCTTGGTCTTCTTGTCACCACTATTGAGTTGAAAGTACGAATTAGTACGGACTCCAGTGGATATCCATGAGCACAGAAACCAGGAACGTACCCAAGCTCGAAGTGCTTGCATCGCTTCAGGGCGAGCTGTGCCTTGGTCTTGCACACTGTGCATTCCATTCGGAGGACGACCTTCTTGGTGGTCTTGGCCTTCTTTCTGAAGACGGGCTTGGTCTGACCACCATAACCACTCTGCTTGCGATCGTAACGACGCTTACCCTGGGCGAATAGCGAGGCCTGCGGTTTGGAAACGATTGTTCAGCATTCTTGTTCGTGCGGTGGGAGAGTATCATATATGGGTGAACACGGAGCTGCTGACCTTGCCTGCCTTGTATTGGGTGACTCTATGCTGGGTGTGCTTCTTGCAGTCCTTGCCCTTGCAGTAGGTCCGGCGGGTTTTTGGAATGTTGACCTAATTAAGTCAAAGGGGTCAGTTGTATGTCCGATATCAGTTCGTTGCGCGTGTGCATTGCTCTTCCACAGAACTTCGGAACCCCCTATCCAGTCTCTCAAGCAAATACAGTGTCTCCGGCGTGTTGTAGGCGTCTGTTCTCGAATAGATTCGCTGTCCGCTGTCATATATGCTGCCAATTAAAAGAAGCTCTTGCCATCTTCAATTTCGAAAATTATCCGGCCACATTATCGCACATCCATATCCGTCTCTTGCAGATAGAAATTTCCGCAAATATCCCATCTTGACATTATCTCCAGGAAGCCCTAGTTGGAGCTGAATTATTCAATTTTCTCGAGTGGCTCTGCGATGCGATTCCTCGCGGTCTGTGTCTCGATTGCTTGTTGGATAGGTCCTCCCACGCTCTGGTACGAAAGCATCACGGCAAAGACGAAAAAAAGAGGGTCATGTCCTTACCATGGTGACTGATTTATGCCGGATCACAGACTGTGGTAGTGGTGTCGCTGGTCGCTGGTCGCTGAGTCTGATATCAAAGTCGAAGTCGAAACGACTTTTGTGTGTTGTGAATTTCACGCTCGCTTACGTTTAGAGCCAAGAAGCTAGCCGAGTTTATGTAAGCATAGTAACAAAACATCCGCACGGCAGCAACATGGCCAACGCTATGCTGTACGGAGTAGATGGGGGCGATAGCAGATGGATAAGAAGACAAATAGACGAAGGGCATCATGCTTGATATGATATGCTGTATAATAGAGAGAATGCATATACTTGCGCTATTGACTATTCTATGTTCCTTTGATATCACCGTTGCTGACCCAGAACTACTCGACACAATGCTTTTCTTTCTACGGAGTACTCGTATCATATTGTATACATTCGTCCATCTAGAATCGCCTTCTATGCATTCACTCGTCTTCATCGTCGTCGCCGTCGCCTTCCACTGCCTCTGCCGCCCGCCTGCGAAATGTCGCCGTTCACGTGATGATAAGCGTTATCGTGTCTTGGCACGGCGTCTTCCTTCTTGAAGTCGCCTTTTTGTATGTTTACACGTCGGGACGATGAAAAGACGAAGCAGAAGAAGCGAATAAAGGAATATAGCAGCTGGTGTCTCTGTCTGTAGCACCCATCGGACGCCGAGATCTCCACTTGTACCGCCTACCCTCTTTTTTTATAGCCTTCTTTTCCAGTCCATACGCCGCCACCTTCACAATGCTGATCAAGTGCGTCTGCCCCTCGTACGCTCATGCGCTCCCCTCGCTCGCCAGCTAACCAGTCCTTTAATAGAGTGAGAACTCTCACAGGCAAGGAAATCGAGCTGGATATTGAGCCGGACTACAAGGTACGTGTGTATTAATTTGTTCTGCGGTTGAAGCAACTGCTAACAGCTTTTTGTCTGCCTAGGTATCCCGCATCAAGGAGCGTGTGGAGGAGAAGGTCGGCATTCCTCCAGTACAGCAACGGTTGATTTTTGGTGGAAAGCAGATGTAAATATACCCGGTAGCGCTTTGAACTTCACGTTGTGCTAACTGTTTGACCAATAGGGCCGATGATAAGGCTGCATCGGAGTATAACCTTGAGGGAGGAGCAACGCTACATCTGGTTTTGGCCCTACGAGGAGGACAGTAGGGTCCCGATGCCCCATGGAAGGTGGAAGAAGCGGCTAGAATGAATATGGGAGAGGCGTGAAGAAGAAGACAGACGGCAAAAAGCCAATGTTTGCCTCTTACCAGTCGACCTGCTAGACCAACCAAACGAACAGCAAATTACCACGTACCTTGAAGGACACTTCTTAAGACCTTTTTTTGACCCGGCTAACCTGGGTCCAGTCGCAGAACGACATCTGAAGCCTCTTGTGATTGATATTATTTTCTCCCTCTTATCTTTCCTGCTAGATCTGTTACCTGGATTTCGATATTAGCGAGACAATCAAACCTCCTCTCTACAATGCGTTGTCGCGGCGCAAAAAAACTCAATTCGGAAGACAATACCAGCTACTTTCTCTTCATTCTGTCACACAATACCTTTCAGAAGAAAAAAAAGGATATGACTAAAAGCTTCCATTCTTCGGCCGGGCCGGCAACGCATTGGTTGTGAGCATCGTGATGACGCAACTAAAGCTTCCATCTGGTTCAAACAGTGCATTATCAACACATTACAGTTTGCGAGTTCTATTTCTCCCACAATAAAAGGGCTGGAAAGGGTAGAATAATTATTCGTAGTCAACTCGAGCAAGAAACCGGGCAGTTTAATTTTTCATTGTAGAGCGGTTGTATTTAATATATATCCAATTGTCTAAAAAGCAACAAGAGCCAATAGGGGAAAATGAGACCATCCATTGACTTCACCAACGTTTTGATATGGCTGGCAAACGGCTGCATTCTCCATGCAGCTGCTCAGAGTAGCTCACCTACGACAACTGCCGCACCTCCGACACGAAGCCACCAGTCTTTGGCCAGCCATGGCCCATACAGCGGCACGCCAATGACCTCGGGAGCCTTGACGAATACCGTCTTGGGCACGGAGATACCTGCGGGGCCTCCTGCGGCAACAGCTACCACGTACCCAAGTGATGGAGAGCTTCACGATCCCCAGCCTGCTCCGTACGTCCCGGCCGGAGGCCGAGGGACAAACGGGACCCAACCAGTGTATAATGTGAAGAGTGATTTCGACTATGAATCACTGGTATGTAACTGCATGAGCTTCCAATGGTACATTGGCTGCCATTGCTAACAATGACCTAGGCTCTGGCATTGTATCAGGAATGGATCGAACTGGATCTCTTCCGGTACGGCCTTCGAAACTTCTCAGAGCAGGAATTTACTGCCGCCGGCCTCACCTCAGAGGACAGGTATCTGATCGAGTTCATGGCCGAGCAGGAGATAGGCCATGCAACCATGCTCAGCAATATTTTAGGCGCTGAAGCTCCAATGCAGTGCTCATACAACTACCCCTTCACCAATGTCCGTGAATTTGTGGATTTTTGCCAGAAGCTCACTCGGTTTGGTGAATCGGGCGTGTATGGATTCCTAGGCCATCTCAACTCAGGAGAAGCAGCCACGCTTCTCCTCCAGTCCATCACCACCGAGGCCAGGCAGCAGATGATATTCCGTCAGTTCAACGGCATGTTCCCTATGCCCGTCTGGTTTGAGGTTGGTATCCCGCAGTCATGGGCTTGGACCTTACTCGCCCCTTATATTAGCTCGTGCCCGCCGGACCAGACCAGACTTGCCTGGCAAAACTTCCCGGCTCTGCGCATAATCAACCAACCTAACCCAGCACGCATCAACGGCTCAGCGGGAACGAATGAGACGTTGGGTCCTGGTATGAACACGTTGCGTAGCTCAAATCTCACCTCCTCTCAGGCCTGTCTCAACGCAACAGATTCGTCTGCCGATTGTGCCCCAGCAATAACCCAGAACCGTACAAACCCTCTCTCCTATCCCGGTCGAGTCGTCAATCTCTCCTGGGACAGTCCCGGAAAGGCTGTCGGTCCAAATAACAGCTATATCACCTCCTCTCAAGCCAAAGCTCCCAAATTTGTCGTCTGGGTCTCTCAGCTCAACGTCACGTACTCTACCTTGAGAATGCAAGGGAACAGCTCAGGCACTACTGTGCAGCCGAATATGGAGACCTTCCAGGGTGATCCAGCAATCAACGGGACAATGTTCATCGCGGTCACGGACTCAGACACGCCATATACATCGTTCAACCTGTCGATGATTAACCCACATATCGTTGCTGGTCCAGCTTTGTATCAGGCCGGCTGAGCAAGGGTATTCGGCAATCAACAATAGTACTCTGTGCATGGGTATTTGGACCTCTGGGGGTCATGTAATGTAGTAATAGTATTGATCCATAACTATTGAATAACGATCAAAAAGTTAAAAGGTATCTGAGATCTCCGTCAAAGTCGTAACAAGAGGTAGCCCCTCTACATGGTAGAGCAGAGATCAGCATCAACTGGCATGGAACAGCTCACTTCTTCTTCCTCCGTCGTGGATATCAACTTGGCTGGTTTGATTGGCGTGACCCTCAAATTTGAGGCAAAAGGCCCATCACGCGCAAGTTCACGTCATAGTTTCACCAAAGCCAACAACACCACACCTCCTTATACGACAGACGACGAGCAAACAACGCCAGATGGCCACGCTGTGACTGCACCCGAAGGCTTCATCCAAACATCCTCCCTCTTCATGTGCAACTGTGGGATCCTGTCATTAACTGCAATGGTATAGCACGGCCTCGGGCTAGGCGTGCTTCCCCGACGACTTTGCGATGCGCACCGTACTCCCAGGCCGACCAGCGCCGAAGCTACAAGCTGTCAGCACAGCTCTGTGGGAGGGCATCCGCGTCATTGTAAGTGATACAACGTCCCTGGAAATAATCCGAAATACTTCTTCTATCCGGTGTCTGCGGGAGCTTGGAGCGGACTGGTCAGGCTGACCTTTTGTCACCTTGTCGCTAGGCGTATATATCGGGCAATGCAGTTATCATACTTGGAGGACCGCAGAAAGTGCTACAAACTATCTACCTCGATGACGTTGAATGGCTTTCCGCTGTTAATATAGATGGAGCTTCTGGGAGGATTGCTGTATGCGGTGGACGGACAATACTTGTGTACAACCCGTCAAAAATCCGCAATAACGTCGAGGTACGATAGCAGCCTAGCCTCTTTGCTACAGTGAATTAACACCTGTTAATGGCGCTATAGTGGAAGCTACATCACACATTTCAGCGCGAAGATGCCGATTCTAGTGATGAGGATGACAATGACGGAGATGGAGAGGTCAGAACGCTGTCATGGGGCGGTTCCGGTGAGCTCCTAGCAGGCAGCAAGAGCCTTGTTCTTTGGCACATTGACGACGACGCTCCACATGCTATATGGACAAACAAACTGGCAAACCGGGCCAAGATTGCGCAGTTCTCATACGATGCAGGGCTTATTGCTTCCACTGGGGACTACGACCGGTTTGTAAAGGTATGGAGGCGACTTTCCTTCGGCGCTGACGAAGCTCGGTTCGACGTGACGTACCTACGGCATCCAAGTACTGTGACGGGAATACATTGGCGCCGACCGCATCATGTCGAGCAGACAATAGACAATGTCCTTTACACGATATGCTCCGACAACAAGATACGAATATGGGCACCAATGGATCGTCATGCCTTACAGGCACTTCAACTTTGGAATGTGATTGATATGGAAGCTTCAATTCAGCCGCGATACCCCCTTAAATCACCCAATGCCAGCAATAGATATGAATTCATTGTTGATAGTCGTGATTTCTCCCTTGCCACTGAACGTGCAGTGCAGCTCGGGCCTGCAACAGAAAAGGACAAATTTGCTCTCGACCACCTTATCGAGGCTGCCACCAAGAGTCCGGAGGTTTGTGTCATTCTTGACAAGAACGGCCATATGTGTGTATGGGGACTAGAGAATGCTGGCTGTAAAGCACATGCTGAAGCTAATATCTTCAACATAGCTCACATTGAAGGATTGGATCTTTCTACTGCTCTAGGTAACCATCAGACAGGCAACTACGCCCAATTCTATTCTTTTGCTGGAGGTGTTTCTGATGCATCCTTTACCGTCCTTACCCATTACTACGATGGACGGATTGAGTGGTTTGACTCACGGGTCGATATTCTATTCGACCCTACACCTCGAAAACGCCGGTTAGTGTCTCAGGCCACCTGGTCTGGACATACGGAATCAGTGAAAAAGATAGTCCGCACGCCTAGTGGGAAGGTTCTAAGCTCCCGAACAAATGACAATAATGCCGTGATATGGCGTCAAAGGTCAAATACAAGCACTGGCTCCGTATTGGTCCAACAAAGTGCTCTCAACTGTGATATGCATATTCATCGAACCTGTTTGTTGGAAGATGGAAATTTCCTGGTCAATCTCCACCATAACGGGATATCCATGTGGGATATTCGCTCATTCGAAGCTCAGATGATTGCGAAAAGTGATTTGCACCTCAGCAGTAAACCTCTATGTGTTTTGCTTATACCAACATCTGAATCTTGTACTTCCTACATTGCCGCAATAGGGGCTGATATGACAGGCGTAGCCTGGGAAGTCACCCTTCCTAGTGGCAATACACCTCGAGGGCAGTCAACAAAGCATGATACCCCCATTTTGCGAGAGTTCTCGACGTTCAGTCTCGGGTCGGATGAGGAAGTTGCTTACATTCTCCCCGTTGATCCAGCTGGATCGAAACTCCAGGCATCTCATTCTTTGGATTTGTTTGCCACTGATATCGCTCTGTCTTACTCTCATAATGGGACCATCAAAACATGGACTGCTAAAGTCGATAAATCAAAGGGCAGGGTTGATTGGCTACTGACTGCCACTGTTGAGACGGGAATTCCAAATCCTTCCCTGGCGAGCGCTGGCTCAGTCCGAAAGGCTGCGCTTGTAGACCAAAATCGAACACGTTTAACTATATGGGACACAAACAGTGCTCAATTGGAGCTGGAGGAAAGCTTTGAAGAACATGATATCATCCAGGATTTGGACTGGACTTCAACCCCTGACATCCAGTCAATTTTGGCTGTCGGTTTTCCACACAAAGTCATCCTGCTCTCACAATTAAGATACGATTACCTTGATGCTGGTCCTTCGTGGGCACAGATCCGGGAGATTAAGATCGGCCGTCACACACCGCACCCTATCGGAGATTCGTGTTGGCTCGGTAATGGAAACCTGGTTGTTGGTGCCGGTAACCAACTCTTCGTGTATGATAAATACATCGAAGCAAGCAACAGATGGGTTACCAACTTGCGTCTACCTTACCATGATGATACTCATTTCGACCTATTCGATGCTGTTAGCAGGCTAAATGGCCCTCTTCCAGTTTTCCATCCGCAGTTTCTAGCCCAATGCATCTTGAGCGGCAAAATAAGCCTGGTTCACTTGATATTGACAAAACTGCATAGGAAATTGAAGTTCGTTACCGATGGTGACGAAGTCGATGGTTTTCTAGAGATTCCGCTGGAAGATATATATAATGAGGTCTCTGTAAGTGGGATTTCCTCGTAAAAGTTTACATTCTAATGAAACTAACGTTTTCGACAAAGCATATACAACAGATAACGTATAAGGAGATGAATTCTGCCTATGCAAATTTTACCCTGGATCATGAACCTCGTGTTCTTGATGAGAATATTGCTACGTCACTCAATGAATACCTGAAGAAGATAACCCTTCCACAATTATCGTCTAAAGAACAGTTCCGTCTCGTTGATATCGTTGAATGCGTTGCTACAGTAGAGAAACATCGACGTTCAATGGACGTGAATGCTGCGAGATATATACTCTTCTTCCGACAATATATGCTCAGGAAGAGTCAAGGTTTCCTTGAAGAGTATATGGTCCCTTGGCGAGAGATCGTCTGGGCATTTCACAGTGATAGCCATGAAATTCTTACCGATCTCGTTGGGAGACAGTTCCATGGCAAGATGCTTTGGGAGAATGCTAGAGAAAGTGGAATTTTCATGTGGATTACTGACATAAACGCTCTGGTATGATATCTCTGTCCTCTCATATCATGGGTTATCATTTACTAATTGTATAATCAGCGTTCTCTTCTAGAAGTTATCGCTCGAAATGAATATACCAAGTCTGAGGACAAGAACCCTATCGATTGCAGCATTTTCTATCTCGCCCTAAAGAAAAAGAAAGTGTTGCAAGGCCTTTGGAGAATGGCAACCTGGCACAGGGAACAGCCAAACACGCACCGATTTTTGTCAAATAATTTTCAAGAAGAACGTTGGCAGACCGCTGCATTGAAGAATGCTTTTGCGTTACTCGGAAAGAGAAGATTTGGTAAGACTTAGCCTTTGCCCCTTAAAACGGAACGGGGAAATGCTAATATATATAACTAGAGTACGCTGCTGCCTTCTTTTTGCTTGCAGACCATCTGCGTGATGCAGTAAACGTCTGCATCAATCAGCTTAGAGACATACAACTTGCAATCACAATTGCTCGTGCTTATGAAGGTGATGATGGTCCGGTTTTGAAAGAATTCTTGGAAGAGCGGGTACTCATTACGGCTGCCACGGAGGGCAACCGATGGATGGCAACTTGGGCTTTTTGGATGCTTAACAGGCGTGATATGGCCGTTCGAGCTTTAGTCGTAAGTCTTTTTCGCATTTCACTTCCCCTTGCTCTGTCTATACTAACATATCCACCTGCATAGACACCGATAGAAGGTCTACTTCCGCCCACTCCTGGCTCACCAGCGAGCCCAGGCCAAGTGGCTTTACAAGCGAAATCGTACTTGTCTAATGACCCGGCATTAGTCGTTTTGTATCAACAGTTGCGTGACAAGACCCTTCAAACTTTAAAGGGTGCATCCAGGATTGGCGCTCGGGAGGAATGGGAGTTTGTTCTGCGCAATGCACGGCTATATGACCGCATGGGCTGTGACCTCCTTGCTCTCAACCTGGTACGAGAGTGGGAGTTCCTCACTCCATCTCATCCTACGGATACTGTCTCTGACAGACTCTCGATCAGCTTCATGGAAGATTCACGAGATCCACGAAAGATTCTCAAGCGAAGAGGGAGCCTCGTCGTTGCCGATATGCATATCACTCATGACAAGAAAGACGACGCCAGAAAACCCGAAGCTAACAAGGATGGCTCTCAGCAGGCCAAAAATCCCACCCAATTCCAAGAGCCGGAGTCAAGTTCTTTGCTTGATTCCTTTGGTTTCTAGCCACTCTTCTCCCATCCTTTCTCTTGTATTACCGTAATTGATCACTGATATATTTCTTTTTGGATGCATATGGGTATATCTCATCTTTTCGGCGTGGAGTATCGTGTGTTATTTCTGCTTTTTTTTTTGGGAGGGGAGGGTGTTGTTATTTATGATCTAGTTATCAATCGGCAATGTACAACATGCGTAACCAACTATTTGATCCTTCTTGATATCCCGACAAGCATTCGCTGCAGTTAACCTCTCCTCTCTTTATCACTAGTCGGATGTCAACCCAAAAGGCTCATGTTATAATTATTAATGCACATCTTCCATGCATGACAAGCACCTTATCATCCTCTCTTATTGGCAGGGAGTCCGTCCGGAATGTCTGCGCTTCTCAATATTACGTCAAAAAGGCGCCGGCAAAGCATCGGGATTAGCTAATTAGTCAGCCTGCGATGGCTTCATTTTTGGGTCTTCTTGTGCCTTTTGGGATCGACGACGGCGAGAGGAAAAGCCATCCTCTCACCCGAGGGAAAGCAGCCTGACTCACTCGCTATATATATATATATCTATATACGAGCAGGATGTAGAATGGCATCCCTCGAGTCTCCTTTCCTACCGCCTCACACTGTACGGTCTCGATAAAGACCGTTGTTCTCCCACACTACGCTGCTCGAGGTCCTCCCGGCTCTGCGGCCCCTATCCGGCTGAACGAGAGGCCCAGAACCATGGAGGCCGGTGGCAGCAGCACTCGCGGGGGCGAGGATACACTGGAAACACTGGAAACACAAGTCGAAGAAGACGATGTCCCGCCCACGACGTATGCGCAGAGCTTCACGCCGCGGTCGTTGTTCGTTGGTCTCGCCATCGGGGCGCTGATAACCTTCTCAAACATCTACTTTGGGCTGCAGACAGGATGGATCAGTGTCATGACGATGCCCTCATCCCTGATCGGGTTTGCCGTCTTCAGGTCCCTCTCCCGCCATCTTTCGTTCCCGTTTACGCCAGTCGAGAATGTTCTGATACAGACGGTGGCCGGCGCCGTAGGGACGATGCCCCTGGGATGCGGCTTCGTGGGTGTCATCCCGGCCCTGGAGTATCTGCTCCGGCCAGGACCTGACGGCCCTATGGACGGGAGTGATGGCGGTGACGGCGAAGGCGGGCCCTTGAAGCTGGCATCTTGGAAGCTGATTGTCTGGAGCTTGGGCGTTTGTCTGTTTGGCGTTATCTTCGCTGTGCCTCTAAGAAAGGAGGTTATAGTCCGGGAAAAGCTCAAGTTCCCCAGTGGTACGGCAACGGCTCTGATGATAAATGTGCTACATGGCGCAACCAAGCCGGTTGATAAGGGCAAAGGTACTACAGGGAGGCTGAACCATTCCGCTGGCAGTCCTGCAGAGACTGAGCGGCTATTGACATCCAACGACATTGCAAGTGTCACCCTGGAGCACCTTGAAGCAGACAGAAGAAGAAAACATGAATGGAAGGCTAAAATTAGAATGCTGCTTCTTGCATTCGGCGTATCTGCCATCTATGTAAGTTCTTTCTAGCACCTATCATTGTCTTCATGTTACTGACCAAGTTTCGGTCTTAGACCCTTCTGTCGTACTTTGCGCCGGTGCTTCGTAATCTGCCGGTATTCGGACTTCCCCTGGCAAATCAATGGCTATGGACCTTGAATCCATCGCCTGCGTACATCGGGCAGGGCATCATTATGGGACCTTCCACGTCTCTTCATATGCTGCTCGGTGCCGTAATCGGATGGGCTATACTCTCCCCTCTAGCAAAGCATAATGGCTGGGCACCAGGCCCGGTAAATAACTGGGAGACCGGAAGCAAGGGTTGGATAGTTTGGGTCTCCCTGGCAATCATGCTTGCTGATTCAATCATCAATTTGGCCTGGTTGGCAATCCGACCACTCGTCAATCAAGGCCCTGGATTTGTCGTGCGTCTTCAGTATGAGGTCAGACGAAAACGGTTCTGGACAGGTCTGTTTAGCGGAAGCACTTCGTCCAGCCATGGCTACACCGCCATACATGCGCGGGAAGGCCGTGACCTAAAAGGGGAAGACTATGACGCTCCCCCATCCGAGCTTATATCTAACCGTACAGTCGCGATACTGCTTCCCCTTGCGCTAATTCTAAACGTCGTATGCATGCGCATAGCGTTTGGTGACATAATCTCTCCTTTCCTTTCAATTGCGGCCACACTCCTCGCTCTTCTTCTCTCCATAATGGGCGTCCGCGCCTTGGGAGAAACTGACCTCAACCCTGTATCTGGCATCAGCAAACTCACTCAGCTTATTTTTGCTGCAGCCACTCCCGCAAGCCACCATACACGTCGCAGTGCAATCGTTGCTAATCTCCTTGCGGGTGCCGTGTCTGAGTCTGGAGCTTTGCAGGCAGGCGACATGATGCAAGATCTGAAGACAGGCCATCTCCTCGGTGCTAGCCCCAAGGCACAGTTCTATGGCCAGGCCATTGGGAGTGTCGTTGGTGCTATCATCTCAGTTGGCGTGTATAAGCTCTACGTCAACGTCTATCCAGTTCCCGGGCCTATGTTCGAGGTCCCGACTGGATATGTCTGGATATTTACTGCACGACTTGTGACCGGCCAAGGTCTCCCAGAAATGGCATGGCCAGCTGCTGGTATTGCCTGCGTAATATTCACTATTACCACCATCCTGAGAATCGTCGGAACAGTCTCCGGCCCCGCCGGTAGTAAAGGACCGGTATTTGCCCCTTGGCGTGCTTGGGTGCCCGGTGGCATTGCCGTTGCCGTTGGGATGTACAATGTTCCTTCGTTCACCTTAGCCAGGGCAATCGGAGGTATAATTGCTCTTATTTGGCAATATCGTTCCAAAGTTATACGAGATCGCCTTGCTCTATCCAAAGCACAAAGCGCCAGTTCACCAGGTGGTGAAGAACAGGAGGCGTCCAAGCCGCTGGATAACGATGAAGATTCAACTTCATCAACGATAGTTATTCTAGCATCGGGTCTTATTCTTGGTGAAGGTATCGTCAGCATCCTGAACCTGATACTAGCGAGCGCAAAGGTTCCGCACCTCTAAACTTTAGAGTTCGTTCATGGTCGTGGCATAAATAGTCCGCCGTACGTGATTTGAAGTATACTATATACCCGGTTATTTGTCATGCTATTTATAGGTCTGTCTTGGGAAGCTCGGCCTGTCTATCATTTTATGAAATTATGTCTGTTGTAAGAATAGCTCGAAAGCACAGGTACATATAGATAGGTAGTCCATTGTCAAATGTTAGGAAATACAAATGTGTCCGGTGGTTCTGCTGTCTTTCGGGGTTTATACATTTAATATGTGCGTTGAATATATATCTACAACTCTGTGAAACAATTATCATCTTTTTCTAAACGATTGGCCCCGATTTATATTCGTAACTGCTACTCAAGAACTTTATATAACATAGTACGTCTTGACAGGCATGACGTATTTAAACAAGAATGTTAACTAGGCAACCGGGCATATGGGAAACGAGCAAGGAAATATATACACACTTGGGGTGGAACCAAAAGCCACAAAGGGAATAAGAAACATAAGATGTGTGAATACAACACCGTTAAACTTGGCTTGATACCGCCGAAGCGGGCATCTTCACGGAGTTTTGAAAGGCAAAAAGGGAAGCAAAGAAAGCAAAAGTATAGAACATATCGGGATATCACCGCCATCGCATCGCCAATGAGAGCACGTGTGCATGCATGATCATGGCTACTGCCCATATAGGTATAACTAAATAGGTATGTAGGAGCTCATCTCATGTGCATCCGTTAACTCGAAGAATAGAAAGAAAAACTAGACATTAGAAGCATTCAAACCATAAGGCAAAAGGTAAAAGGAATTGAGGGAGGGTATATGGGAGCCAGACTTTGTTTCCAAAAGACTAATTCCCCTGGCCTGGAACAGGTTTACGGTTTGCAGGCCCTAGTGCTGGTGGAGGACTGCGGGTTGGCTCTGGCTTCACTGCAGGCTCCTCCGAAATTGCTACCGGAGCTGGTGCAGGAGTTGAAGGGGTGACAGCATCACTGGCACTGTTGCTCCTTGGTCTTTGGGCCGCAGGCATAACGGGCTTTTCCATCCCACCTGGTCCATACGGTCCTGGGCTCATCGATCGTGGCTGTGGAATTCGTGGGCTACCAGCACCTGGGCCTGGGGATAATGAACGAGGGATCTCGTTAAACTTGTTTTGAGGTGGAGGATAGGGTCGATATCCTGCATTGGGTGAAGCTGGCCGACTGTTCACAGGGGGGTTAAAGCGCGGGCTATTGGGGTTTGGCCCAGGGGAGTTGAGACCGCCTGCCGGAGGCATGGCCCCTGGGACGGGAGTGCGTTGACCAGGGCCTTGAGGTGGTCCACGTGGGCGAGGACGAACAGGGCGGGAAGAAAGACATGTTCGGGGTGCAACGCCCTGTTGAGGTTGGTCAAGGCGGACACAGAGAGCCTAAAAACCACGTTAGTATGTGAGCAGCGGTATGTGTTGACAGGATTGGGCTACGTACCCAGCCGTCATCATATTCATGGAGCATGCGGACAAGTTGGCCTGCCCGAAGGGGTAATTCATCATCCATAGAAGGGTTGAAATCAAGTTGAACGCGGTAGACATTGTTTGGTCCAGGGGGTGGACCAGCAGGCGCTCCAGCGGGTGCTGGGGCCACATTAACGACAGAGGCCGTGCTCATGGCAGGACTTGAAGGCGCGGGAGTGGCAGCCGAGATTTGTGGAGGAGCGGGCTGCTGCTGCTGCTGCTGCTGCGGCGGCGGCTGATCTTTACGGGCATCCTCACTGGACGCAACAGAAGCAACAGCGGCAGCGCTAGTAGTGACAGCGGCCAATGCGCTAGCAGATGCAACAACACCAGTGTTGACAGTGCCTTCGGATACAGGAGATACGGGGCGGCCGACATCTGAACCAACGCTCGGCGTACGGACCTGGAGGGCTTCTGGAAGCGTCCGGTTTGGAGGCGACGAAGGAGCCGAGCTTGGATTGTCGA